ATAGAAAGCTCAGGGAAACTTCCTCTTTCAAGTTAATGTTAATAGTTTATAAGGCTGATTAGTTAAACAGTTTTAACAGGCTTACCTGGATGATGGTGGTGATCTCTTCTTCAGGTCATCTCATATCAAGTTTCTGCACACTAAAACAAAGAAAGTCCGCAGCAGCTGCAGGTAAAGGTGAAAGGTGTGGTGGTGCTCATGATAGACTTTATAGAACCGAAAGGAAAGAAAAAGAAAAAAATAATTCCTGATAACCAGAGACTGTCTGGTCATGAACAAGACTGGGTTACAGCATGCCTTAAGCTGGGAAAGAGTACATTACACAGCACACCTTCTGGCAACAGCTTTCCAGTATTTTTAATTTGTGGAAATGAAACAAACGAGTGATTCTTACTTTGAAAGTTTAGGATGTGCGTGAGTCATGAGCTGCATCTTGGAGTCCCTCAGGTGGAGCTTAACTTGCTCCTTTTGCTTGCCTGATATAGGTAATGTGCCAAAATTATTTTCTATTTTCTCTTTTGCCCAGAGAATAATTTGTTTTAACAAAACTGATTAGTTGAGATAAAAAAACAAAAACAAATGACAAACCAAAGGCCTAATTTTTCTTGAAATGTGTCTTTTTTTTGCAGGTTTTTGCTTATTTCCATCACCTTGTTAGGCTTTCACAGCCATGGTTCGAAGCAGAAACATTCCAAAGAGACCATTGATATTGTTTCCAAATGGCTGCATCAAGCTTACAAAAAAGGCTGTGACCTAAATGAAATGCAATGTCATTAAAATTAGACTGCATGAATTATAATGCTGCACAGGTTCATTTCTTTACTGAGCTGTTTATCTGTTGTGTTCATATAATTATTCAAGATTTAAGCACATTCAACAAAAATGCATGTTTAACATGCAAAAAGTAGAAGATGAACATCAAACCTGGAAAAAGTGCAATTATAACATTTATTGCCGTTTCAGATGATAAAATCAGTCCAACACCTCAAAGAGTAAAAAGCCAAATCTTAAGGAAGGTGCAAAACAAAAGTTTAATTAATGTATTTGATTAATACTAAAACTACTCGGCCTGAGGGTGAGTGGTTATTTTTGATTAATTGTGGAATTGATTGTTCGACTACTTTAATTAACTTGATTGTCATAGAAAGAGTAAGGCTGTGTGTGACAGACAGTTCTCACTATTACATGGCCAGAAGTCTTTTTAAAATGATACCAAATAAACAAGATATTATCAACCAGTCTTCATACCCTTATAGCACCTTGCCCTCTTACCGAATAAACTGTGCAATTAAGGTTAATGAATTCCCTCAGATGACAAATCCAAGATAAAAATCGAACACAGATAAAGTGTAGCTCAGTACAAGGGCAATTCAAGAGATTTACTTCTAAAAGTAAAGGGAAATTAAACTAATGTAGTAATATCTTCGGTTCAAAGAACAGGCAGGGGTTATTCTGGGAGGTGAGGGCTTAATGAGGACCATATTTACGAGCCAGGAATCATCTGTGAAACACGGCGGATGTGGAATCATTGCAACCCTTTGTTTATAGCTTAAGAGAAAAAGACTAAAAAAACATAAAAATCTTTAGAACAAAACAAACCCGAAAAAACATGACCCAGCGTTTGGCATGAAAGTTACAAATAAATGAAGCAGACACCATATTTACATTAAGATTGTATTCATTTAGTTATTCAGGGAAAAAAAAAAAAAAATAAAAACATCACATTTTCACCATTCACTCAGCTTTTGTATGTACACATTAAAACACACTTATTTTAATACTTTTAAAATATTTGTACAAAATACACTGTTCTCCCTTTATAACATCATTCTTTTAATGGAGGCCTTTTCTGCAAAAAAAAAAAAAAAAGGTCAGCAGATGTGAACTATTGATTTGTGGTATTTTTGCATATCATCTTTATTGCATATTTTAATCCCTGCTTTCTTTCTTTTTTTCTGAGGGGTCTTTCGAGGCAGAGGAGGAGGCATTACTGTAACTGCCATCACTGCACCACCTCTGCAGACATTTTACTGGAAAACCCTAATAAATATGACTCTCATACACTTTGGAAAAAATAGGCAACTGAAGGCGGAAAAACTGTTCAGGAGGGAATATTTAACATGGAATCATTTATTTATTTGCAAAGGACTTTTTTTTTTTTTCATGTGAACTATAAAACACAAAAATCAGGCTAAGTGGGGTAATAGTGTCTTTAGTATGACAGCTGGCAGTGGTTATTTTTTATATATATGATCTGTAACACAAGGTTTAAATTAATTGGCAATAAAATCTATCATCAAAACACCACAAAGTTTCACACACCCACACACACACACTCATTCAGCTCAAGGTCTGTGTATGACAAGATAGAAAACAAGAAGTTTTCCTGAAAGTCATCGTGTTCATCAAAGAGAAGAACGTTATTTGAAAAGTGGTTAACTGTTTTTAAAACAGTTTAGGCTGAGTTAGAAAATATAAAAGAAAAAAACAACAACAACATATCTAAATAATATTCTTTTGATTGCTTTTTAAAAAGTTGATTTTTAGAAAAATCACAACTGGCACGGGTTGGGATCCTGTATCAACGGAACACCGGTGAGGCTAAATATACATAAAGTGAGATTTAGAAAATACAAAATAAGCTTCTTTTTTTATATATTTTTTAAAGTTCATCATGGCTACAGCTAGACTTCGTATGCACTGGTTTGGCAATAATGAGAGCTTAAGTCAGAGTGGTTGTCTTGGCGACAGAATGAACCAGGCATGAACAATAAACCCTGTACCTTCCATGGATTCTGAGCGGTAAGATTCACAGCCGACATTTTCTATGTGGAATGGGCAAAGAAAATATTTACTTCAATAAAGGGACGAGGAGAAGGTGAGATCTCCAAGAGGACCCACCGAGAAGAAGGACTTCAGCTTTATGGCAACACAAATCAGCTCCACCATGTTCAAGTTACAGCTTGTGATAAATTGGACTAAAGGTGAAGGAAAACACATTTTCTTTTAACGCTCTAATGAGTAACCTGACTTTAGCCACCTACTCAGAGTCAAAGCAGCATTAGATTGGGCTGCAGGTGAAGCAACTCGAAGTAATCATCTTCTGAACTGTCTTTATTACACCCAAATGGCATCAATAAACCCAGAAACAAGTCTGGTTTCTGGGTTCTTTCCTAATGCAGTTTGTCAGAAGATTACTCTGGTGGTGGATCCTAACAACAGCAGCATCTGAATCAGAAGAAGACGGCACTGAACAAACCAGAGAGAAATGGAGTTTTGTTTGAGTTTTAACACTTACATTGGTTTTAAAGGAACATTCCAGCAATAAATAAATGTAATAAGGGATTTTTTTAGTGAATGCCCAGCTACAAGTGCTAAATGCTTCCAAATGGTGTTTAATTTAATTATTCTGCTGATCTCTTTTCAATGTGGCATTATGTAGATATTATTTTCTAAATGTTGGACCCCGAAAGCTACTTGTGTAGAATAAAAAAAAAAGAAAATTTCTGATCCACCTTTTTTATTTATTTCTTTTTATACTTTAAGTAGTTGATAAAATATGGGGGAAAAAAATTCTTAAAATGGTTAAACGTCAAATATTGTTAAATGTTATTTTGTTCTCTAAAGAATGTGTTCTTTAGAAGATAAAGGAGAATTTTTAGAGATTCTTTCACTTGTTTTTTTTTTTTTTTTCTGATTTCAAATTCTTTTTTGGGCCTATAGTTATACAAGAGATTATCGCTCTCAGATTGATTTAAACAGACATCCAGCTTAGGGTTATAGCTGGATTATA